GGGAACTGAGGCAGGAGCAGGAGTAAGGGCTGAGACAACCTTGAGGGAAGGGGAATCAGCAGAGGCAGATGCAGATAAGGAATGGCCGCTTCTGGGGGTGTATCAGAGAATACACACAGCCATTTGCCTGGGGTTTGAAAATCCAGAGTGATTTATCCTGCCTTCAGGACTTTGGCCAAATAACATCTTGGCAGGAATTTCTTGGTCAGACACAGAGGCAGCTCTAGCCTTGACGAGGCCAATACTGAACATTTCAGAGAGGCCAGGACCAAGAAAGTCTCTGACCATTTAGACTTCCAGTGGTGTGCAGGTAGTAGGATTCCAGTCATCCTTGTTAATTGCCCAAGCATCCTTTTCCTCCTCTGCAGCAGCCCATTTGTGGGGCTCCCACAGCACCTTTGGATAGGTCTCATGAGGAGAGCAGCTGGATGCTCCCAAGTCTTCAACTGCCGCACTTCAGCTGGTTTCCATTGCATTTTCAGGTCACTTTGGAGCAGTCATCTCTGCCTATCGCCCACACAGTCACCACCTTCACCAGCTGAATCACAGCCTCCAGATTCACCTGGATGCAGTCAGATCCCCCCTCCCCTCCTGTCTTCTTCAGGAGCTCAGCATCTGGCTCAGCATCTCAAGTTTTCCATTCTCGAAATATTTTGGGATCACACCATTACCAGCAGGGCCAAGACTTGATCTCTTGGTGACGCTGGAGATTAGCTCTAAGGCCTTGAATTGGCAACAGAAAGAGAGGCAGAGGCTGCTCGGAACTGTTTCCAACTGGGCCAGGCACACAGTTGGCGGAGGAGGAAATCCCTCCCCGGGGATGCCACTGTGGCCATGGGGGAGGCGATTGCTGATGATCACAAAACAGTTATGAATGGACAAACCTCACAACCTCCCAGGAAGGGAGCCCAGTGGTCTCAGGACATCAGAGCCACATAAGCTGGCCATGCCAGCAGGCAGGGACTGCAGAGCCAAGCTTGGGCAGCAGCACTGGCTTGTCACTCCTGAACATTTCCTGGGGTATCAGTGTTGCGTGAGGACATTTCTCCATCCAGATGATGCTGTCTGATGACAATCCCATAACCCCACCTATTCAGAGCAAACCCCATGGCCTCACCCCTTCCCATGGCCTCACCTGCCTCATCCCAGCTGTGCCTACTCTTCCCAGCTGATGCTGCTTTGCTCCATCTTTCCAAGAGCCTTGGCTTCCTCCCTCTCCTTCTCCTATCTCAGGGGAAAGTAGTTCCCAAGGTGCTCAGAGCACCAAGGCCAGAAAACCAGGGCACTTCTCCAGCTCACCTAATTGTTGGTTACTGTCCCTCTCCCTCAGTGCCTAATTAAGTAGAGCAGGAGGAAAGCCCAGGAGAAGCTTCTGAAGGCACAGGAACACGTGTGCACATTATGGAAAGGCTGGTGAGGGGCCTCACCCAGACGGGCTGCTTCAAAAATAACAGGAGAAGAGTGATGCTGTGGAACAAACAGGAGCAGTGACCAGACCTCGGGTCCAGACTTGGATGCACACCTGGAACACAACACACACTTCACACATGCTTCACACAGCAAGACAGCTGTCAGGTTAAGGGTAGAGAAGGGAGCTCATCCTGGAGGGGAGGCACTAGGGATGAGCATGACCAGGGATGGTGGCTGGGCTATCTCCTGGGCTCCAGTTCCTGGATGGAATGTTGCCTTGCTTATCTCCCAATCCAGACTTCAATCCAACCCCTTTCTACTGAATTTTCACCATGGCTGCTTGAACCCAGTCCCAGGAGTGTATGGGACATGAAAGATCATCTCCAAACTGATTTCCTGGCTGCCTCAGCCTTGTAATCCCTCAGAACGCTGGGTGGAGTTGGACGCTGGTCCAGAGTCTTACTGAAAAGCCCTGAGTGGACTTGACTCCTTCCCCCTATTGCTTTGGGAGGATTTCAAAACAGCTATTTCAGCTTTTGAATCCTTGATTCAAATTTGCTGCAAGCTGGGGCTGCCCCAACCAGTACCTATGTTGAGGGGGAGGAATCCTGCTCTGTCAGTGCAATGTCTGTGAAGCCGAGATCCTTGGGAAGATGCTGCTGCAGGCAGAGGAAAAGCCAAGCTGGTATTACAGAGAAGCCTGTCCTAAACACAATGCCTGTCCCAGCTCCTCACTGGGTCACTGTGTTCCCATCATCCAGCCAGCTCCAGTTTAGTTCCCTCTCATGGCTGAGGATAAGCAGCCAGACTGCTGGATTCACCCACGGTGCCCTGATGGAGGTGGTGCACGTGCGTGTGTCACTCCGTGCAAGCAAAGCTGCACCCGACACATGCCCAAGCCCACAAGGGCAGCGAACAGGATCCCAAGTGCCAGCAACATGTGGTGCTGCGATGCTGGAGCTCTGCCTGCCTTGTGCTTTGCTGTAGCCTTTGGCTCTCCTCCTGTAGCCTGCCAGTGTCATCTCATGCATTTCTCTCGATGACAAATAGTCCCTCGATGTCACCAAGGGTTGTGATGCTGTTACACTTCTTGCTGAAAGAAGCAATAAGGTCTGGGGTGGGGTCAGGCCTTCCTGGCTCCACATCTCCCTCTCTCAGCCAGCCTGGCCCCGCAGGGCTGCTCTGATGGGCGGCAAAGCAAACTCGCCAGGACCCCATTTATTAAAAGAGGGGGCTTCACAGGAAAGCTGGAACAAATGCTAGCGGGAGTGTTTGCTTTGCCAGGATGCTCCAGCCAGATCCAGCCAAAAAGTTTGAGCGGCCAAAGTTTCTCTGCTCAGTATTTGTGTTTGTTTTATCCTCGTTGCCTGGCCTGTTGTGGGAGATTTATCTTTAAGAGAAAAAAGGCAGCTGGATTTGGTGGCATATGTCTCCTCTGGGATCCAGCCCATTTTGGGCCATGCATGGATAAGGGTGAACTTAATGTGTATGGCCTGAGCTGAGCAGTGACTTCCTTTGGCCTCGAGAAGGTTTAAGCAGCGAGGTGAGCCCTGGAAATGGACGGGGCATCCCAAAGCAACACACCACCCTTCTCTGCCTGCATCCCTACCCGAGAAGAGCCCAGGACTCTTCAAACCCCCAGTACCCACCATGCCTTGTCCCACTTGTGCCAGTGCTGGCAGCCTGGAGATCTGCCATAGCCGTGAGGTTTTCAGATGTGCTTCTGAGCAGGTCTGGTTCCACACATGGGCACTGCGGCAGGGCTGTGTGGGTTTATATACACGGTGATCTCGTTAAAGTCTGGGTTTTAACGAGTCTTGAGGGCGATGCTGTGTCATCATTAGCACTGTCTGTCGGGGAGCTCTGAGCACGGCTAACCCAGACAGTTCAGCTCTGGGGTTAATTCTGAAGCCAGCCTGATCACAATCCCTCTATGGTTTTACCTACCTGCAAAGTAACAGCAAAAACCCAGAGCCAGGTCAGGTTCCCTGTAAGAAAGGAAAAAAGAAAATCAAAGAAACAGAGTCTGGATATAGCCTGTGTATGATGTAGCCTTGTTTTTTTTTTCTGTATTCTTGCTGATCTTCAAGGTGGACTCTCCAACTTGAAGGGTCTGCCCCTCTGTCAGCAGCCTCAGGAACCAGCAAGCCCTTGGTGTGGGTCTCTTGCAGTGTGGGGGTGACCCCTCTGGGAGCCAGTACAGGGGCTGGAGGGAAAGAACAGTGCTGAGGGCTCCTGGATCACTGCTTTGAATTAAAACCTTTTTTTTATTTTTGGTATGTGAGCAGGCTTGACATAGGTTGTTGGTGCCAGCTGGGCTTCTGTGCCTCAGTTTCTCCCCTCCCCGGGGCTACCAACTGCTCATGCAGGCTACCCACAAGATCAACAGAAGATGTGCAGAGAGGGGAAGAGGCCACAGCATCCACCTCCTTCTCCGTTGGCATTGCCAGGGGAAATTCTGCATGAGGACATGAGACAGCAGCCACATAGCACAGTATTGAGAGAGGAGGCACTGAGTTAATTTGGCTGCCCAATTAACACCAAGGGAAGTCATTACTGTACAGCTCATGGCTCTCTGTCCCAACACGTTGTTGCCCAGGTCCCAGGGAGGTGAGCAGAGCTCAGCAGTGGGACACAGAGGGTGGGCTGGGGGCCCTGGTGAGGCATTTGACTCCTGCTCCGTGAACAAAGCCTGGTGCAAACAAATTCAAAGTAAACGAGAGGCTTGGGATTGATGTTCCTGGTGGCACCCACCCTCCTGCCTGTGCTGGGACCCCTCACTTCCCCACCGAGCCTCCCCCTTCCTGTGGCCATCCTCTGTCTGAGCAGGGCCAGAGAGCTGCCGAGCCCTACATGCACCCGTATATACGTAAACACACACACACAGTTCCCACTTGCACGTGGACCCCATAGCTTTGCTTCTGACAGAAGGCGCACCCAGCACCAAGGGGTAATGCCTCACACACAAACCCCAGAAATTATTAAAAGAAAACAGGTCAGATACACTTCAGACTCAAGCCTGGGACAACTCTCAAAGTGCCAAGGCTGAAGCACGATGGGGCTGGAAACTTTTCCCATCGAGGTGGGATTTAGAGAGGTTTCCCTCTCTGTAACTGGGTCAATCACATGCCCAGAGCCTGTGAAGCCAAGATAACCCTTGGCCAAACGTGCAGCCTCACTACTATGAGCATCCCTGACCGTACCAGGGCTGTCCTGCCACCCTAAATGCTAAATGTGCTCCATCAGGGTCACCGAGTCCCAAAATATCCCCCTCCTGCCCGGTGTCCTTTGTAGCAGCTCTGGTGGGGCCAGAGGCACCTTCCAACGGCTGGACTGGAGTGAGGAGGGTTGTTCTCTCGCCCATCGCCCCGTGGGGTGCACCCAGCAGCAGCTCAGCTCCGCTGTGCCGGTGCTGCTGTCGGCAAGGGCAGGTTCCCCGCCGGCCCCCGGGGTTTGGCAGCTCGCGGGGCTCCTGCCTGCCCGCAGCCCCGAGGGGACGGGGATGGGGGCCAGCATCCCGGACAAAAGAGATGGATTATTCGGTACAAGCGTACCCCCTGCCGACGAGCTGGAAAAACACAGCTCCCCGGACACCTTCCCCCCCTCCAAAAAAACCCACCCAGCTACAACCACGGGACAGAACCAGGGGGGCCGGGACATCCCCGAGGCGAAGGCCGGAAGCTGGAGAGGGGCCGGGCTCCCGCAAGGAGTTGGAGACGGGAGCTGCTCGCAACACGAATGAACACCCGCCCACCCCCATCTCGCCAGGCCCGGCAGTAGCAAGTTTTTTCCACGGAAGGTTTGCGGTTTCCAGCCTTTCCCGCCCGGCCCCTCCGCGCAGCACTGGGGGCCCCCAAGAGCACCCCCAGCCCCGCAGGCGGGAGGTCTCGGCGGTGTCGTGCCCGGGGCATCCCCGGGGCTGGTTTTTCCGATGTTGGGGGCTGGTTTGCACTTCTCCCTCCGGTGTTTCGTGTTTTTTTTTTTTTCTTTTGTTTTGTTTTGGGTTTTTGTTTGTTTGTGTTTGTTTTTGGTTTTAATTCTTCTCCCCCCTGTCTTGGCCTCCTCCGCAGCGCTGCCTGCCCCGCCAATCCGGGCCCTGCGGGGCAGGGGGACCCCGGCTGCGGCTTTAAAAGCGGAGCCCTTTGTGCGCCGGGCTCCGGATCGGGATGTGCTGTGCCGTGCCGGGATGTGCCGTGCCGTGCCGGGATGTGCCGTGCCACCGGCAGCCGCCACCGCCGCCAGGAAGAGCCTTGGACCACGCTGCACCAGCAGCCCCGGGACCCGAGCATCCCCCTCGGCAGGTATTTCATCCCCCTCCCCTGCACCCCAATAAACGTGTGGCAGGCCGGCTTGCCCCGCTCGCCGTTTTGCCGGGTCTGGGGTGGTTGCCTTTTATTATTTATTTACTTTTTTTCCCCCCTGTAACCGCCTCCCTTCTTCCCTCCCTCGCACCCGCTGGTTTGGGATGGTGCGGCTGGGGGTGTCGTGCTGGTGGCACTGAGGCACAGTGGTCAGGCTGGGGTGACGGGGGCTGCTGGTGGAGCCGGGGTGCTGCCCGCTGGTGGGGATGTCAGGGCTCGTTGGGGACAGCTCGGTGTCACCGGCGGCTTGAGGGGGTGGGGTGAGCAAAGAGTGGCTCCCTGGAGTCTGTCTGTTATTGTAGGGTCTCTCGAGGGGGTGGGATCAGCGCTGTGGGTTGCTGATGCCCCGGAGTGGGGTATGCCCCGGTATGGGCACCTCCAGGCTGTCCCAGTGCCCATGGGCAGACCTCTCCCAAAGCCTTTGACGTTTGGCCCTGAACAGACCTACAGCCCAGGTAGCACCTTTAGGGGGACTCTAACCTGGCCTGGGGTGTCCCTGCAGCTATCTTGTCACCAGATAGTACCACGAGCAGTGGCTCCGGGAGCAGCTGCAGCCCTGCTCCGTGCCCAGACAGCCCTGCTGCAGTGGGACCTGCCTACATCCCTTCAGCCCCTAGCTCAGCCCTGCCCTGCCTTGGCATTTTGGCCACAGCCCTGCTGCAGTTCTAGAGCTGTGCCATGTCCTTGGAAGCAGAAAAGCTCCCTCCTGGGCTGAGCAGTGATGGTTGGAGCCAGCCAACAGCACCACAGATGCTGGATCTGGGCTGTCACTTTTCCTCCTTGTCCCTGATTCCCTGACCCCTGCTCTGGGCTTGGAGGGAGCATGTTAGTGGCTCCATCTGGAGCTGGGAGACAGGAGAGGGGTCAGGTGTGCAGTGGTTAGCCATCCCACCTGGGTGTGTTCTTTGCTCCTGGTGGGTTCCCAGGAGTGCTGGGGAAGCGTCAGGCTTGACTGGGAAGCACAAGAGGCCTCAACCTTTGCACTGTGGGAAATCACCCAGCAAACCGTTGGTGAACTTGGATGCCAGAGCAGCGCTTCTGTGCCAAAGCCACTGGCCTCGTGTGAGTAGAGGATGGAGGAGACATCGACCACAACCACTCCACGGAGCCCCCTTTCCTCACCCCTGTTGACAGAGGGATGCAGCTGCCCTGATTGCTGGCTGGAGCGTGGCTGAGCACCCACACAGCGCAAGGCACCCCAGCTGGGCTTGCAGTCTCCCGCGGCACTGGGGATGGGGACGAGCCCTGGCTGGGGACCAAGGGCAGGTGCTCGCCAGCCCCCACGTGCAGGGAGCCGTTGGTGCGGCTGTTTGCATGAGCAAGAGTGAGAGCTGGGGCTGACCGCAGGAACCCACGGCTGTTGCGGGGGGCCCGGCTGCTACAGGGGTCCCAGTGGCCCCAGGGAGCGGCTCAGGGGCTGTTATGCAAATTTAGAGGAGCCAGGAAACCAGTCGGAGAGCAAAGGAGTCTGAATTTCTCTTCTCTCCTCTGAGTCACCAGGGCTGACTTCCCTGTCTCTGAGATGCTGTGGATGCTCAACACATCCCCTGTTGAGAGCCTTGGCCGGGGTCCTTCCAGCATGGCACTGCTCTGGCACCTGGGCACAGGCTGGTCCTTGTCCCTGTGGCTGGGCAGGGCTGGGCAATGTGTGTGCCCCTGCTCCCAGGCTTGCCCCTCCGATATGGCACAGCCTCATGGTCTCCACTCTGGCTCTGCAGCCTCTGCCACCACACCCAGGACCTACACCTGTTCTGGGAAGGGGCTGGGAGCGATGTGGGGTGGTGACTGGCTGGGCAGCTGGTGGTGGGATAGAATGGGTGCAGTTTTGGGAAAGGACCAATTCTGGCTGTTCACAGCTCAGTCTCTGTTCCTGGGGTCCTTCCACACACAGCTTTATAACTGCCTCAAGGGACAGTAGAACTGCTGTAGGGCCCTGATGGAGGGGACTCCATTGTAGATGGAAAAGGGGCACTGTGGCTGCAAGCATGAAACATCCAGTGATTTGGCCCTGGTATGGTTTCTTGAAAATCACCCTGGTTTCTTTATTTTGGCACATCCCTGGGGTACTGGGGGTTAGCAGTGGGCTTGGGGACATCCCCAGGAAGGCAGGGTCTGGTTCCTTCTGCTCTGTCCCAGGACCGTCCTCTTTCACAGTGTCCTTTGTCACAGCCCCCTTGGGCAGCTGCAGAGGATGATGTCCTTACCTGCCCAGGCTTGCCAGAGAAACCTCAGACTCCCACACATCCCCAGGTACCATCACAGCAGCACTGACATGCTCTGCCCTGCTGTTTGCACCCTGGTGACCCAAGTGATGGGCACAGGCAGTCTGTCCCCCTGGAAATCAGATACTGGGGACCCTGTGATTTCACATGGTAGTGGTCAGGCTGGAGGCACCTGCCTCCTGTCAGATACAAAAGGCATTGCTTTGCCTGCCACAAAGGAGGAATGTGCATGTGTGAGCAAGAGAGGCCAGCACCCGTGGCAGAGCATACCCAGGCTTCTGCCACTTCCTCGCCCCACAGGAGAGACACGGTGGCCCAGCCCTGAGTGATGGCCACCACCAAGCACAGCACCCTGCAGACCAAGCCACAGGTGAGTATGTGGGATGTCACCTGCCTAACACAGAGGAGCAGGGCCCAGACCTCAGAGCAGCCTCTGGTATGTTGGAAGGGGACAAGTCCAGCTGGACCCTGGCCTGGCATGAGGAAGAAAATTAGTCACAGCAGCTGAAGGGCTCCATTGCCACATCTCTGCCCCAGTGCCTGCTGGAAGCACCCTGACAGGCAGATTCCCTCTGGCATATGAAAAGCACCTGGGGATAAATGCCCTTGTGCCAGGAAGATGGACCCCATCCCAGCAGGATGGGGTGTCCACAGCCCCCATGCTCTTCTCTGCAGGAGAAATACCCCGTAATGATCCTGAAAGCACCTTTGGGTGACAGGCCAGGTGCTGCATGGCCCTGTGACAGTGCCACAGATTGGCAAAACATGTTGCTCCAGTGGGACACGGTGGCTGTTTTTGCTGCCCCGACGTGGGGTGCACAGGATGAGTCCCTGTGCTGCTCTCTGGGCTCTGGCTCCTGCTGCCACCATTTGTCCCTGTGCCCTTCTTCCCAGTTGCCTTCCCGTGCTGCAGGGAGGCAGAGCACAGCTAGAAATACACCCAGTGCATCCCCCCTTCCTGCCTGTTTGCTTCCTCCCCTCCTGGCCTTGCCTTTCAGTGTGGCTTCCTAAGAAAACAAAGGTCACGCCGCCACACTTTGCCTACACACACACACACACACACACACACACACACACACACACACACACGTGTGTGCACAGCTGGTGCCCTTCTAATAAACTTTGACCACATTTCCATCCCTGTGGACGGGGGGCAGCAATCTGCAAACATGCTGAGGTCAACAGAGCTGGTAAAAATGAGCAGCTAGGGAGGGAGAGAGAGGCTTTCCTTTCCTCCAGCATGGAGGCAGGCTGCTCCACAGCTCAAACCCTTATTAGACAGTGGAAAAGCCATATATGGCACAGCCAACACACCCCACCTGCAGGAAGGGCTTTGATCTGGGTTTACACCTGAGCAGTCGTGCTGTGGGAGCTCCCTGGGGACCGATGGCATGACTGCCAGCCCGCTCACCTGGGCTGAGCTCTGACAGACTCATTCCACAGTTGTGGGGCTCTGAACCCTGTGCTGATGTCACAGCCTGGACCCGTGAACCCCTGTCAGCCCCAGCCTGCACTCCACATACCCCAGAGATTCTGCTGGAGAAAGCCAAGCTCCACCAACCCAGAGGCAGCGAGCTGCCACCAAATGCGCTCATCCCACAGCTCCCCTGCTCCGTCTTCCCTCCAAAAAAGCCACAATTGCCAAAAACCCCCTGAAAAATCCATGGGTTGGTATATTCAGGTTGAGAGCACAGGGGTTGCAGTGACTTATCTGACATAGTTTTCCAGAAACTTCTCCTCTGGACTTGGTGTTATCATTGTGTTTCCGTTTTCTGTCAGCAGTGGGGTGCCAGTGGGGATGGGGACTCCAGCCCACATCGCACTCAGCAGAGCTTGGGGCAGCACTGAGGACGAGTAGGTAGCTCCCTGTGCGACACTCTTCCTTCACTTCATTCAGTCTAAAAAGTAGTTTAATAATTAAAATACACTTTGGGAAGAACTTCAGGTTGAGCAGGCAAGGACAAAACCCTCCCAGGCTCCATGGCAATGGTGAGTTGAGGAATTCAAAGCACACTCACTGCTCAGTGAAGGTCTGACTCCTGGGGATGGCTCAGGACAAGTGCCCCTTGCTATCCTCAAACTGCAGTGGCTGCTCTGGGGAGGCACTCAATGGAGCCAAGCTCCCCTTTCTGGGATGTGACTCCTCCGGGGCTGTGCCCCTCACTCCCGGGTGAGCAAGGACTGCTGGGCACAGGGAGATGGGGCAGCCATGTGCTGAGCCCCAGCCCCCCCAGACACACCACTCCACGGTGCAGGCAGCTGCCACACTGCCCCATGGCACAGCTGCCATGAGTGCCGCCCGCAGCAGCCACCCGGCACGAGCCAGCCTTCCCTCCGCCCTTCCCTACTGCCACTCTGGCTCCAAATGGGGTTTTATTGCATCCTGTTTTGAAACGGCAGTGGGCGTGGGCCCATGGCGGAGCTCTGGCAGGTCATGGCCCCCCAGCCCCAGCAGAGCAGGCTGAGCTGGGGTGGGGGGTGGCTGCAGCTCTGCCCACTCCCAGTTTTGGCCACTGACCGCTAATGCTGCTTTTTTTTTTTATGCTCACTATCACCAGGACGTGGTTTATTCCCAGGAAGGAAGCCAGGCAAAAGCACGCTATTAAAATGTTCCGATGGCCTTTGCAGCGGGAAACCCTCAGGCTTTGCCAAGCAGATGCCTGAAATTGGGGTAGGGGGAAGCAAGGAAGTGGCCTTTGAGTACCATGAGGCCTTCCCAGTGCCCCCCATCGCCTGCCTCCCCACTCACCTCACCCTGGGGGGGGTGGTCGCCTGGGGAGCTTGGTGCCCTCCTCCCCCCCCCGTTGCATGGAGG